GTTATCCCCAGTACATTCCAGGAACCTTCTAGACTGTTCCCTCCCTGCTGTATTGTATTCCCAGCAGATATCCGGCAAGTTGAAGTCCCCCACGAGGACAAGAGCTCATGATCTTGAGACTACTCCCAGCCATTTGTAGAACATTTCATCTGTCTCCTCATCCTGGTTGGGCATTCTGTAACAGACTCCTACTACGATATCTGCCTTGTTGGCCCTCCCCCTGATTTTTACACATAAACACTCAACCCTATTGTCACCATCATTTAGTTCAAGACATTCATACCACTCCCTGACATACAGGGCCATCCCCCCAGCTCTCCTTGCTTGCCTATCCTTCCTGAAGAGCCTATAGCCATCCATGGCAGTGCTATAGCTATGTGAGTCATCCCACCACGTTTCTGTGATGGCAACTACATCATAATTATCCTGCTATACAATGGCTTCCAGCTCCTCCTGTTTGTTGCCCATGCTACGTGCGTTAGTGTATAAGCACTTCAGCTGGGCTATTGGTACCTTCTGCTTTTTACTGGAGGGAGCCGTAATTCTGCCACCCCCAAACTTATTCCTAAGAAGCCTGGGTACGCCCCCTTCCTTTTCCAAATTTAGTGCCAGCATGCCGCTTTCAGGCTTTTTGAATTGTACTTTTAGCTGCCCCGTCTTCAGAAGTACCCAGCACCGATTTAAGAGCTTAAAAGCCAAATTCAGAGTGCTTGTTTTCCGTTCTGCCGTAGTCATGTTGCCGCCTTCTCTCTGCCAGCTGCCCAGGAGGCTGTTACATGGTCTGCACTGGCCTCTGCTCTTTAGCGTAAGACAAGATAGGCAATCACGTATTGGGACCTGTAGTAAGAAATCCTCGGGGACTAATGAAAAGACTCTTATTAAATTTAGCAGGCACTATATCAAGACTCAAATAAGGTAGGGGAGCATTATCAGCCAAACAGAGGTGTTTAGGCCTAAATAAGGTATTTGGGTCATCCACGCAGGGCTGGCAGAGATGGGGTCCCCTGTGGATGCCCCTTTGGACATGCCCCTATGGACATGACCTTTGGATTAGGAGCTGCTGGAATACCTTTTGGCACCTTTCGGGACCTGGGAGTCCTGGTGGACAACAGGATGACCATGAGCCAGCAATGTGCCCTGGCGGCCAAGAAGGCGAATGGCATCCTGGGGTGCATCAAGAAGAGTGTGGCCAGCAGGTCAAGGAGGGCATCCTCCCCCTCTACTCTGCCCTGGTGAGGCCGCATCTGGAGTACTGCATCCAGTTCTGAGCTCCCCAGTTCAAGAAAGACAGGGAACTGCTGGAGAGGGTCCAGCAAAGGGCAACGAAGATGATTAGGGGACTGGAGCACCTTTCTTATGAGGAAAGGCTGAGGGACTTGAGTCTCTTGAGTCTAGAGAAAAGAAGATTGAGGGGGGATCTTATTAATACTTACAAATACTTAATGGGAGGATGCCAGGGGGATGGGAGCAGTCTTTTTTCAGTGGCGCCCAGTGATAGGACGAGGGGTAATGGGCATAAACTTGAACATAGGAAGTTCCATCTTAACATGAGAAGGAACTTCTTTACTTTGAGGGTAGTGGAGCACTGGAACAGGCTGCCCAGAGAGGTGGTGGAGTCTCCCACTCTGGAGACATTCAAAACTCGCCTGGACGCTGTCCTGTGCAACATGCTGTAGGTGACCCTGCTCTGGCAGGGGGGTTGGACTAGATGATCTCCAGAGGTCCCTTCCAACCCTAACCATTCTGTACCATTCTGTACCTCATACAGCTCTAGATAGCTTCATTCGGGTGCACGAATCAGAGACTTACACCTAACTGTAAACACTGGAGCTGAAAAACAATGTCCTACAACCAATTCGTTATTTGTTGAAGGGCCTATTCTCAATGTGAAGTCAGCAAACTTAAACAGCCAAACCTTTCCCTGCAGTGTATTTGGTTTCCTGAAGAGCAGGACTAATTCTTGGTAGTTGTCAAGATAAAGAGAACACAAGCTAAGGTACGTTATTGAGTGAATACAGAACCAGAGCTGCTTCAGGTCTCACTGGTAACAGCTTGTGCAATAAGTAAAGAATTTAGGTTGTGAGTTAATAGTC